ACTGCGTTTCTCCAACATGGAGAAATACAAGATTTCTATGCAAATACTTGATATAGAATGGGAAGAGTTTTGGCTTCTTCGACAAAAATTCTTCTTATCTAATAAAGTTGTTGAAGTCTCTATCAAAATTATCCATAATTGTTATCCGGTAAATTACAAACTTGCTAAATTTAACAATAGTATTTCCCCCAATTGCTCCTTTTGCCTTCAGTCTGAAGAAACAATCAATCATTTGTTTTGGGACTGTGCTTATTCTAAAGTGTTCTGGGTTGACTTTTCCAATTTTGTTAAAAAAATATTTATATCCAAACTTTTGTATAACCCCAAAAATTGTGTTTTTTGGTTACTCTTTGAATTTAGAGTCTGTAAATTTATTATTAATCTATTGCTATATCTTGCTAAATTTTACATTCTTACGTGTACATTTTCAAAGAAAACTCCCTAATTTTTTATTTTCAGGAAAGATTTTGATGTGTATGTAAACTCTTTAAGAAACTCTAATAATTATATTGCATGTAAGACTCTTTCATGGTGTAAGTCTTATAAGCTAACATAGTATGCTTTGGAGTATTGTTTGTAACCCTTGTTGTCTTTTGTTCTTATTTGTCTTTGTAATTGTATTTGTTGTTCTTCTATAGACCAATTATAGGTTTGTAAACATTCAGGATGCGCGCGCATCATGGTTGCAGAAAACCCTCCGGTTACTATCGTAACCTCGGTTCCCTGAGAGCGGGAATGAGACATCACGGAGATATTTCTCCGTTATGGGATCTCCTTCCCTTCCAACCTTTCCTGAAGTCCTATTGGCTCCCGCCAGTCCAGACTGGCCAATTGTCGCGAAGTATGCAAATCGCATGCAAATACTATCGAGCTCGAGCGGCAGTATAAAATGCGGTGCACGCGACAATTACGTCAGAATCTGATACTGAACGCAGCTTTAGCTGATCGAATAGCAAACACGGCGACCACCGTGATGTCTCGTTCCCGCTCTCAGGGAACCGAGGTTACGATAGTAACCAAAGCGTTCCCTCTCGAGCTTTCACGAGACATCACAGTGTTTCCTCCCGGGACCCCACGCCTTCCTGCGGAAATTCGGCTCCTGGCGAGGAGCAGTAACGTTAGCCGTCACCGCTGCGGACGCTGGCCTGGGGTTATCTCTCCGCTGGGAAGAGCCAGGTGCCAACGAGGATCTGGATCTCGCCGTCTGCTGCTGGAAAGCGCTCGTGAGCCTCCGCGAAGCGCTCAGTAATGGACTCCACGGCGCTACCAAAAAGGCCGGAGGGAGTCACAGGAGCTTTCAGCAGCACTTTACGGTCAGCATCCTTGAGGTCAGCTAGGTTTAACCAAAGGTGCCTCTGAAGGACGACCATAAAACCCATGGCCTTACCCACAGCCTGGGCCGCTCGCTTCGTCACCATCAGCGCGAAGTCCGTCGCCGCGCGCAGATCCTTAACGGCCTCTGCCGTGAGGGCTCTGCCCTCCGCTGCCTGCAGGAGCTTCGCCTGAAAAACCTGCAGCACTGCCATGGCGTGCAGCGCGGAAGCCGCCTCGCCATCAGACACATATGCTTTATTGGCAAGGTGGGCGGTGGTTCTGCACGGCTTTGAGGGGAGGCTGATGTCTGAGCCTAGGGTCTTGGCTGCTGCAGGACACAGGTGCGCAGCGACGGTCTCCTCGACTGGGGGAGAGCGCACGTACCCGTGGGCCTCCGGGCCTCCGCCGTGGGAAAAAATGGCCTGTGTGGCAGAGTGAACGCGCGCAGATTGGGGCGCAGACCATGTTTTCACCAGCTCACCAGCT